ATAATTCTAAATGGGGAATACTGAAATCTTTTACTTTTAGATCTGGCAGAAGACAAAGATGTCCTCTATCACCACTCCTATTCAATATACCTCTGGAATCATTAGGTACAGCCATTAGACAAAAGAAAGAAATAAAAGGAATAAGAATAGGTAAAGAAGAAGTTAAATTATCATTGTTTGCAGACAACATGGTACTTTTCTTGGAAGACCTAAAAAACTCCACCAAGAAGCTACTAGAATTAATATAGAAATTCAGTACCACAGCAGGCTACAAAGCCAATACCCAAAGGTCAATAGCATTCCTCTACACAGACAACAAACACACTGAGAAGGAAATTATAGAAACAATACCTTTTACAATAGCACCAAGGAAAATGAAATACCTTGGAATTCATCTACCTAAAGAAGTCAAAGATCTTTTCAATGAAAATTACAGCATTCTTAAAAAGAGATTATAGAGGATTTCAGAAAATGGAAAGATATTCCCTGCTCCTGGATAGGAAGAACCAACATTATGAAGATGGCCATACTCCCAAAACTGTTGTACAGATTTAATGCAATTCCTATCAAACTACCACCAACACACTTCACAGACCTAGAGAAATCATTCCCAAAATTTATTTGGAACCAGAAAAGACCTAGAATACCAAAGGAAATCCTGGGCAATAAAGACAAGGCAGTAGGCATTACAATTCTTTACTTGAAATTATACTAGAAGGCTATTGTGATAAAATCAGCATGGTACTGGCAATGAAATAGACCTGAGGATCAATGGAATAGATTAGAAGACACTGAAGCCTGTATAAGACACTCAGCCACCTTATCTTTGACAAAGTTGCTAAGCATACTCACTGAAGGAAAGATAGTCTGTTTAACAGATTGTGCTGGAAAAACTGCTCTCTACATGCCAAAAACTAAAACTTGACCCAGGTCTATCACCATACACTAAGCTATAGTCAAAGCGGATTAAAGATCTAAACATTACAACAGAAACACTACATCTTCTGGAGGAGAAAGTAGGAAGAAGTCTTGAGAAATAGGGGTAGGAAAAGAGTTCATGAACAAAATCAAATTGCACGGGAAACACTTGAAAGAATTAGCAACTGGCACCTCCTCTTATTGAGAAGTTTTTGCGCATCAAAAGAAATTAAAAACAAAGTGAAAAGAAAGCCCACAAATTTGGAAAAAAATTTGAACAATAAGTACTGAGACATAGGTCTGCTCTCCAGAATTTATAAAGAACCAAAAAACACTAGGGTCCCAAAATTTAAAGACCCAGTCCAGAAATGGACATCTGAGATGAACACACACTTCTCAGAGGATGAAATTAAAGAAGCAAATAAATATATGAAAAAATACTCCACATCACTAGCCATCCACAAATGAAAATTAAAATAACATTGAGATATCATCTCTCCCCAGAAAAAATGGCCATCACAAATAAATCAAACAACAAATGATGGAGAGATTGTGGGTAAAAAGCAACTCTTTTCCACTGCTGTGGCAAATGTAGACTGGTGCAACCATTATGGAAATCAGTATGGAGACTCCTTAGAAAAGTAGGTTTAGAAATCCCATTCAGAGCATCTATTCCTCTACTGCAAATTTTCCTGGAGGATCGGAAAGCATCATACCATAGTGATATATGTGTGTCTATGTTTATAGAAGCAGAATTTGTGATAGCCAAATCTTGGAAACAACCAAGATGCCAGTCATCTGAGAAATGGATCAAAAAGATGTGGTGTTTTTGGACAATGGAGTATTACTCAGCTATAAAGAATGAGAAACTCAAAACCTTTATATTGAAGTGGATGCCACTTGAAGACATACTTATAACTGAAATAAACCAGACACACATGTGCAAATATCATATAGTTTCCCTAGTATAAGAACTCAAAAGAAGAAATACAAATAGAAAGTTATAGTACAATAAAAAGGAAAGCAAGAACTTGAGGAATAGACAATGAAGAGAAAGCAAGGAGGAGAGCCAGGAAACATGACAGAGGCAAGCCATACAGTTATATGTACAAGATGAATAAGGTAATGATCCTGAGAATCTTCAGAAGGTCTTCAAATCTAGCAGTTAATTGGAAGGATTGTCATCCTGACTATATATATTGACACCTGTGGACTAAACAACTTTACTGAAGATGGCAATTTGTAATAGTAGGTTCATTCTTGGAGTGCCTGTCATCCTGGTCTTCTGAATACAGGCTGCTTGTCATGACATACCTGTTGCTGCTGTGCTGTTCCTCAGGTATATGATTGTTTAAAAAGTAAGGGGGTGGTGAATGAAGGCAGGAGAGAGGAACATGAGTGTTGTGGGACTTTCCTGCAACAATGTTGTATGTGGTTAGATTTCTGGACTTATGTGTAAACATAAGAATTATATAATTCTTTATTCCTTTTTTAAAAATATAGTTTAGTTTTCTAATTTTTTTGGTCATATTCTGTAGGGACTTAAATTTCAACAGATCAAAATTTGATAAAGAATATCTGTTCCATGTTATGCCTACAATGTTTGATATTCAGACAGATAGTGAGCTTAAGCTCAACAGCCTAGGTTATATGGTAATAACAATAAGCTTCTTTTATGGAGGGTTAACAACCTAAGGTTGCAGACCAAAAATTAGAGAAAAATGAGGGCCACAAGGAAAGCCAACAAGGAAGCCCTAGCCTTCCAAGGTCAATTAAGACTCAGGACATAAGGGAACCTGTACTGTAACATTATGTAACTCAGTTGTGTCCCAAATTTTCTGATCAAGGAGATTATGGGGCCAAAAAGGAAAGTTATCCATGATGTAGAGTGTGCCTAAGGAGAGTCACATGGAGAGAAAACATTCTCTCAGGCTTTCACAGAGAGCAAATTGGCCAATCAATGGCCGTGACTCATCCACATGGCTGACACTGACAAAGCATGTACAATCTGAGGTAAAGGGTCTCAGGATAAAACCTGAGGGGATTTGACTGTTAACTGACCCTATATTCAAAAGCTACGATTCTTGTTACATAGGTCTTGCTTTATCTTGATCTTAACCATCCAGCAGAAAAGTATAAAAACGAAGTACAAGAAATAAAGCCATGGTGTTATGTTGAGCTGTAGGGCCTCAGATCAACAACTTCTGACATTTCCAGTCAAGTGGAAACCCTGGTACTATCATGGACTACTGGACTATTTTGGAATATTTTGCTGAATTCACACACCTATAATATTTAAATGATGGAACTAAAGAAGAAAAGGGGTCTAAATGAATGACCATTTTGTATCTGTGCATTCAAATTGGTTAGGACAGATGTATAGCTACATTCTCTTAATTCAAGGCATAGAGGGATTTGTTTGAATTGTGTTTGTAAATAGGATATCATGTCTGTGTCTTGTACAACAAATAACCACTAGGAAGGCAATGTGTTAATTATTGAAACTGTCCTACCAATTTGATTTGAAACAGTCTCATTGCTATTTATTTCTCAATAAAATTATGGAAATAACCCCAAAAACTGCAATAGATACTTTGATTTGGGAAACTTGATTTAGATTTGCAGTACAAAAAATAATAAAGGGAATCTTATGGAGGAAAGGGAGAAGGAATGGATGGAAAAGGAATATGCACACCAGATAGTTTAGATAGTTGTATAGCTAGTTTCTCAAAGTTCATTGAAAAGCAAGATGTGTGCTAATACTGTGTGGACCTTATTTCATGCCTATATCTTGTAGTCTGAGTAACTGTGATGAAAATAACAATGCAGAATGTATTAGTTAAAGTTATCCTCCTGTTAGGCGGATTTGAAACTATTTCATTTTATTTCTACTTTCTTTTTCTTCTCTTTAAAATAAAAAATGAAATTTTACCCTTTTCAAAAAGAATTTTTTTATGCTGACAGTAATTTATCTGTCCTTGTGGACGAGTTTTTTTATTTTTTATTTTATTTTATTTTTTGACATCAGTTATTTTTATTTTAAAGAAAGAAAAAAAACAGTGGTACAAAATCCTCAAAAAAAGATTTTAGGAGAGTAACAATGGTTAGTACATTGTGTATTGTTATTGCCAAAGTAGTTTCTCAT